CTTTACCATGTTGATTAGTTAACTCACTGTGATCTGCGTTTACTGACAACTATTTAATTTGACAAAATGGTCAGTGAATGATCGTCATATAACTTGAATAAACTGGAGTATGAATTGCTTCTTCCCCGGTCTTGTTCAATACATTTATCTTACAAGATTTTGGTCTTTTAGAAAGGTTTTGTATTCATTGTCCGATCCATTCATTTAACATAGATCCCATTTCATACTAAAAGAATCCCTCAATTGTTCGTAATCAGGAAATACAAAATACATAGTTAAAAGTCATAGCAATTACACAAGGCATACGTGACAAATTTGAGCATGTAAACTATTTCATTGTTATATAGTTATATAACGGAAAAAATACAAACTGGTCAATCGATAAAATACTGACAACTCATGTCTTACTGTTACAATCAAAAGAGGAAGTCAAATAGAAGAAACTTCTAAGCACTTAAACTGATTAAGGTGACTCGGTTATGCGATTCTGCTATGCAAAGTTATGGTCTATACTTGACATGTGCTGTTAGTTATAATTATATAAGTCCAAAAAGATTTATTAGTAAGCCGTATTGAGATATGACAACTAACTAGAAAATAAGTGACAGTTGATTTGGGTCCTGTTTACAAATATGATTTACCTGGTTAAGATCTATAAAACATAAATTAGAAAATAAAGATGATAACGTTGATCTCGCTATTTTATGCTTCTTGCACGTGTACAAGAATATGAACTGCTGCATTATTGAACGAGGTGTTATTTTTCTGTATTAATTTGTCTACATTTACCCTAAATGAATTGTTAATAGTTGTTAGCGGGATATAGATTTGATTAAAGAATGTTCTGTGTAGGACTATGTTGGGGCACGCTATTTGGCCATTCCTTAACCTATCAGAATATTTTGATGTAAAAATTATAAATATGGTAACGTTTTCCTTATTGTGATTCTTACTTCTATTCAACCTTTTTATCTGGAATATAATCACATTTCTGTTCACCTGTGTTCTGATTTAAGGACTTGTCGTTTGAAGTAGTGACCTAGACTAATAAACAATAAGAGTAGCTGGATCGTAATCAGAGAACGCAAAACAATAGCACGATGATTAGTTTTAAAATGAAAATGATTACATTTATTGTTTAATAGTTCTTTTCGTTGGTCATTACATTGGTTAAACTAGTTAATTTAGATTATTGTGATAGAGGAATATTAAAAGATCAGCCAAACAACTAATTTACATTAAATATTGATGATTCCGAAAAGAAAACACATAAAAAGATTATTTGAACGGTTAGTATGTTGTTAACCTGATAGACAGACAGTGTGTCAAGACATCACTATTCAATAATAAAAACAAACTACTAACATAACAAGAATATTGATCGAATAGGACTAGATAGAAATGCCTATCAAAGAAAAAGGTAAACTATTACGAAACCAAACATCAAATTATAGTCAGAGAATATAAGAAAGGAATACCAGTATTAGTTAATTGATTAAATACTTTATTAAAGTATATACATATTATGATTCTCACATGGTTCACATACAAGAAATTTGTATGAAATAATGAGATAATCCCACTTGTGTTATATTATTATTGAGACATGCAACATTGTTTACTTCCGAATCTTATGGGGTTTATCAATCATTCTGACGTTCTATGATAGTTATCAAAAACAAGTAAGTATGCAGAATTTTTTGAGCACTATAAACAATAAGTTTCGTGATTACTAAATACAAATTTTTAGTTTGGTGCACTTTCTCTAATATCAAAAACAAACTATATAAAGAGATGAGTTGTACCATAAATTGACGTTTATGGATTCAGTAAAAGATCTTCCACAAAATAACAGTCTTCATTCCATTACTGTAAATGAGTAGGGGATGACTGAGTTGTTGCTCTCGGAAATATTATACGTCTAAACTCTACAATGTGTTAGACGATATGGTTTACTTATTAAAAAGTGAATATGCTTTGTATTGGTGTTAAATTCTGGCTAGACATATAAAGATTGACTTAAAAGCAGCATTTGACTCCGTAGACCGCGAGATTCTGTGGCAGTGTCTGTCATTGAAAGGCATACCTCAGAAGTACATAAACCTTGTACAGGCTCTTTACTCGAACACTACTAGTCAAGTCAGAGCTTATGGCGAACTGTCATCTGCTTTCGCAACATCAAGCGGTGTCCGTCAAGGCTGTCCACTTTCTCCATTTTCGTTTAACTACATCATAGACCTACTGATGGAAATGACGCTCTCGTTGACTGAATTTTCGGGCATTGATCTCTTACTACGAGGTCAATTTATCGACTTAGAATACGCAGATGATATAGTCCTATTTAGTGAAGACGCTGATAAAATGCAATCTTTTGGTAGCTCTGAGCAACAATGCCAGACAGTTTAGGATGCGCTACTCCCCTCTAAATGCAACTTGTTGTTTCAGGACTGGCCTGTGTCAACACCTGAACTGGGGATAGGGAGTGAAGTAGTCGTCGAACGCGTTGACAACTTCACTTATCTTGGAAGTCTGATCAACCTTAATGGGTTGGTGCCTGACGAAATCTTAGCACGTATTCGAAAAGCTCGTTTGGCTTTTGCCAACTTACGTCACCTATGGCGCAAGCGAGATATCCGTCTATCAATTAAGGGACGAGTATACTGCGCGGCAGTTCGTTCTGTTTTACTTTACGGCTGAGAAACGTGGCCATTAAGAGTAGAACATATTCGTAAGCTACAAGTATTTGACCACATATGCCTTAGAAATATTGCTCGCATCTGCTGGAATCACCGGGTAAGTTATAGTGAGGTTAGACTCAGGGTATTAGGAAATGATGGCAAATCAGTTGATGAGGTTCTGAATCTTCATCGAAAGATATGGTTGGGCCACGTGCTGCGTATGCCTGAACACCGATTACCATGACGCGCAATGCTAACTAGTGTTGGGGATGGCTGGAAGAAAGTTGGGGGCCGCCAAACCAAAACGTGGCATAAGTCATTGAAGTCACAAACATCTAGTCTTAGCCATGTTGGTAGATGCAGATTACTTGGTTGGGGTCCGCGTGACTATCGTAACCAATGGTTGGAGACTCTGGGTGACATGGCTCAGAATCGATCACAATGGCGTAGGTGTATACACACTCTGTCTTCCCTTACACTATGAGATTAAAATCGCTTCATATCTTTCTTTCTATGAACTAATTCTTTCTTGCTGTGCTACGTCCTCATATGCAATCTTTCTTTTATATATTACCATCACTGAATTAACTACTTCTATGAATTCGGTGTTCATCTTGTTGTGTTAATGAGGTATGGCAACTTGAACCGATGCATATATGTGTTTGGTCCTACGTTGTAGCTGATTGACTGATGGCGGTTAGCAGTGGAATCCAAGACGCGCGTTTCGTCTTCATCTGAACAGGTCAGTTGAATGTGCCTGCATCTCAGGGTTGATGTTCCATCAACGTTTCGGCAGGTATCACATTCAAAACCTTGTTCAAGAACTATGGAGCTTAACTTAACGTCGACATCGCTAGACTTGATGCCACCAAGGTCACAATACGTCAACAAAACTTAGCACGGTCGAACACGAACCTTACAGAAATTTCATTTCTCCAAAAAACTCAAGATATTTTCCTTCATATGCAGTGTTATATCCTTTCCTTGACTACATCTAATACAGTATACGGCTATCGGCAATCGAACGTGAAGAAATTCAGTCACAAAATCAAAAGACAGAAGCAGGAGGATCTGTAATTGTAGTTTAATCATTTACTGTAATGCGTGGTGGGCTCTTATTAAGGGAAATAAATGAATAAACTGATATCACTATCTATTGTCCAGTATATATATAAACACTCATATTGTAAGATTTATTTACAGTAAACATGGTCAAATGCATTTTTGACATTTCATTTATAAGGAAAGTACTGGGTGAAATCTCGGTGCACAAACAATTCAGAGGTCTTTTTATGGACTTTGAATGTAAATCTCACTCAATACTACCTATAGTAACGAGTCAATTAAAAATTAACTAACGTAATTACATTTGATATATTGTGTAAATTTGGAGCTAAAATTCGTATCACCCCTTTGAATGGAATTTACCTTGTTTTCATTCAGTTATGGGAATACTAAACCTCAACTAGGTTACTGTCAATTGTATGCAACATGGAAAATGAGAAATATGTGAGTTGGTTCAAGTCGCCATACTACCTTAGCATCATCAGATAAAATTACCAAGACAAATCTTATAGTAGTTCGGTAAGTGTCACTAGAAGTGGAAAACACCAGATGTCGAAAGAAACACAAATGATAAGGAGATCTTGAGATTTAGGACCTAAGGGGAAACAGAGGGTGAATGCACCTGAGCTATTGCGGATGATTCTGAAGCACGTCACTCAAATTATCTGCTCATTAGTTACGATTAAGTGGGCTCCAACTAATTAGTCTTCGCCCACCAACATTGTTGAACTCAATATTCAATGAAATCATGGAATGACCTCAAGACCAGGTTACTGTATGATTAAGAAATGACCAATCAACTCGAGACGGATGTTTAAGAAATTTTCACATTTAGTAGCACTACTTAGCAATACAGTCTACGATGTGCGCTTTACCTTGCTTGACAAATGCAACCAAGATATAGTATGCATTGGTGTTTCACTTGAAACTTATATCCGAACACAAAGCTCGATCACGAAAGTAAAAAACCAATTAACAGCAGATTGATGTACTCAATTTAACGCTTGACATCTTTTGTTCCGTAAAGCCTGAAATCTAAAAACACAGTTAAAAGTTGGATGTTCTAACTATTAGACCATGTTATTCTACGCAAGTATTAGGAAAACAATGTAAGAATATAGTTACTTTTGAAAAGGAAAGGGGAAGAACACAATAGAATATCATATAAAAACTGATACATTTCACGTATGGGAGTATGGGAACAAGGATAATTTCATAATAATAAGCTATAAATGTAGAACTTTTTTTTCTTTTTACCTGAAGTAATCGGATTGTAACCATATAATCCACCCGAAGTAGCATCAACACGAGGAGAATGCTTTAATGACGAATCCTTTTTATTTGATTAATAAAAGAACAAAAAAAACGAGACGAAAAAATGATTATGTTAATTTACAAAAATCTGTTATAAATTATAGTATTCTTGCAACAATTTAATAACTATTAGGCACACATTTTTGTACTTTGGGCATTGAGTTCCACTAGCTGTCTATGCAATAGCTACTAGTATTTATCAACTACTGAAGGTTTTGGATTATATCTCATGTATGCGCACACAATGAAAGAGTTTTAAAGTGAGACATATTATCTGTCTAGTTCACTGCCTCCTCGCGTTCAAAGTTACCCCAACTAATGTCAGCTTATGACAAAACTCCTTTTCAAAATGATTATCGGATAATATTGATTGCAATGCATTTTCTCATAATTAATACATGCGTACCGTATGCATGGTACATTCAGACTATAGCTTAAGATTAATTTTGCTAATCTTCACTACTAATGAATACATAAACCTATATATTAACAACATAACTTTTATTCGAACAAATTTTTAGCCAGAACTGGAAATTTTCCAGACGTCATTTTAATGAATAAATGTCAGATACCATAAGAACTTTGTCCAATGTAGAGAAAATGTCTAACAATATGAAGTCATTCATATTATAAAAATCGTTAAATCGCATTATATATTTATTCATAGGAATGTGACAGGATTATATATATATATATATATATATATTACTAGTAAGATAATGTCAACTTCGAGAATGGAATTTGATACTTTGTATTTATTTAGGGTTTTGGTACACGCAACAGAACTAAATATTACATGATAAATCATATTGTTGCTATTGACTTTTAAAAAATATAATATTTTTTGTTACTTGGAGGGTTTATGGAGATCCATGGATTCCATGTTACATCATAGACTGATCTTAGTGTAAAAAACATTGAAAACTAAGAAGCATTAAACAAATTATATCAGTATGACACCCATCAGAAGTGCACACCCGTGACCCTACACCGATGGTATTGAAAGGTGGTTATACAGTAACGTGAACTGATTTGTGTAAAACATGTAAATCATTAGACACTGGTTCCGTGGTCTGAAGATTAAGTGTTCACTGTGAGACCTGTATTTCCTAGGTGAGACTGTTGTTCAGCATTGTTAAGAGGTCATATACTAGCACGAAATAAATATTTAGTGCCTCCTACTATTCAATGGTTGTCAACATGATATCAATAAATGATGTAAACTATTTAAAAAATGAAACGGAATATCTGAAAGTATAATTAAGTTACTGAATTAAAAAAAAGAAAACGATATGAAAAACGGTGAGACAGAAAATGAAGTTATCCTGAGATGGTGAAGGTTAGTAGCTCAGGTGGATAATTCGGGTGGAATCTAAGCAAATCATTCAACTCAGAGAACAAAACTCCATCTGAATAAAGCGATTCTTAAGCAACATTTATGCAATATAACAGCACATCTTTTCTTTCAGTCAGGTTAACCAACCACAATACAAAAAAGACAGACAAATAAATGAAGGCGTGTTTCAAACCATGTACACCTACACGTAAATAAACAAAATTACGATTAACTGTTGTTTTTTTTTCTATTAACTACACAATCAGTTTTTTCTGGCTACACTTTGGCTACAGCTTTGGTTTTGCTGAAACAGGGTTTAACGATGAGATTATTTTTAATTTCATATGTTGTCTTGGCAATTTATTGGAAAATTTTGTTTTTGTTGTTGCTACTGTGTTATTATTTTTATGCCTTGCCGAATAAAACAAAACTCAGAATTATGAAAACAACAGCGAGGAAAAATTCGATCATTGTTTTTTCTCTTTCTGACCGTGATTTTTTGGAAATCCAATGAATTATGGATTGAAGGTAATGTGATACGCGATGGACACTGAAAATGGTTAGTCCATACGATTAAAAAAAAACACATTCGTTTAAACAGTATAGGTCTTATACATTTGAATCACGTGATCGTGCGTTTTTTGAAATGAACATGTTACTTTTTGTAAATATACATGAGCCAGTTATAATGTCGAAAATAAATGAGAACAAAGTTGAATACACATTTGTGTGTATTATAGACATAAGAGGATATAAATTAGGTTACTCCATATTGTATACGAAGTTGAAAAATGGGACAAAACTAACCAGCGCACATTATAATATGCGTATTTCTGTCTGTAGATATGTGTGACAAATGTGTGTACAAATACACAGAAAAAAAAGAAGTTAGAACATAACTGATGATATAGTTTACTACTTTTTAATGGTAAGACTGATACATGTTCATCAATATATATATATTAATGAAATTTTACGCGTAATTTTTTAAAGTAGTGGTGCAACGAAAAGACCAGGGATTTGTGACTTTGTGGAAACGCTATATGAGCTGATTGATTTATATAAACAGGCCCAATGAAATTCTATTTCTTTACCAACATAATGTAGAGTGGTGGTGACTTAATGGTTGAACCTTCAACTTATAACTATCTGGACTCCAGATTCAACACCGATCCACTTATCACAATTTGGGCCAACTGAATGGTAATCGCTAGTCTATATACAAACCATATGGCACAAAACTGAGTATATAAACATGTACGTGGTAAATGAGCTACATTTAGCATTTATTTATAATAAAAAAGTTTGATACAATCTATTTAAAAATGTTACAGAAAACAAGAGATAACAAAGTTTTAAGGAAATAGAAGACAGAAAACTATGCAATACTAACAGAAGGGGGAATATTAAAAGGAATAAAAACTACTTACAATAAAAAAGTTTTACTCGAGTTGTATGTTACCACTGAACGTCAATTGAGTTGTTCTTAAAAAAACATTCTCTTACTCGTTTCAGTATCATTTTCCGATAATGGTTTACTAATCCGACTGTCTAGTGAAACTGCAGATAAATGAATATCGTATTTCTATGAATATCTACAACTGGGTTCATCATTTAACAATCTTGAGTATTGAACAGCGTGCCAGCCCACACATTCAATACAGATAAGTAATATATTATCAGACAATATATGAATCTTAACTGATGATTCAACAGGTGTGGGTGTTGAAAATAAAGTCAAGTAGATGATAAATTAATCGATGAAACAAAGCCTAACGCCCAGAATAAATTTGCATTTAACCCACAAATACATTGAGTAATACATGTGATTTGTAGCAACTAAATAATTATGTAGGATTGTTCTTTTCAATAGTTTGTATAATCCCAGAACGCTCGGGAATTAGAAAAAAAATCCCAGCTACTAAAGCATAACCGAAAACTCCATTTCAGAAGAGGCGGAGCGGCTAATGAAGCTTATCGTTCCAGTCTTGGATAACTCGATAGCGTTATGAATGCCACATACAGAGCCTCACGCTAACTAGAAACTTTGAGGTTGCCATGATCCTGCTTCTTGACACACTGTGACGTTTCAGAACTCCCCCATATCCCTTATGAGATAAAGGAGTGTCATAGTGAAAGAACAGAGCCACGTGCCATAATTACCAAGATGAATTAATCAGTTCATAATGGTTTCTTCCTTTGCGACATCTAAAAACACGCTCAACAGGAGACTGAAACTCAAATCGCAGGAAAAGACACAATAATTCTTATCATGTACGGTATAAGCAGGAGAATGATGTTCCAAAATAGTAGAATAAGAGGGAAAGAAGGCCCAAACGATCTTGACTTTTGCCAAATTTTGTGAGGAGAAAAGATAGTAGTAAAAGTAGCCCCCAAATGCCCTGTTACGGCCGAGAGTAGGGAGAGTCCGCTCTCCCTCTCGAAATGCTCTCACATGGCCACGCGTACATAGCCTCTGCCAGTGAAGCCCTACTCACTGCCTTCTCGTGGCAGGGGTGTTGTTTACGAAATCGAGAGGACGAAAAGCGAATGTCCGGCGCTTTACCCGGATTCCAAACCAATGGTGCACATGGGCTCCAGTATCCTGCGGGAACAAATGGCGTATGAAACAATTGTTGGTCACCGGCTTCCATGGAACTGCATCTCCTTACGATGCCCCACTGCCTTGTGGATCAGACCTTTAGGTCGAAGGCTCGGGGAGTGGCTCCCTGAGAAGACCACCTGCTTCGGTTCATGCACCCGGGCAGTATCATAGCCCTCACACATATCAAATGGGATTTGTGTGGGGCATATGTATTTGGTGCCTCCTAGTACCAATATCTATGTGAATGAATGTCTAGGTGCTTGAGATGAATGAAAAACTACTCGTATAATCTTTCTTTACATATTCAATGAAATCAACATTGTATTTCGGTTTAAGCACATTTTAGGATGCACTGTAAGAGTAAAAATCTGATTGTCTTGATCTACTACAAATAAAGATTAGGAGTGTGAGGTTATAACACATTCTATTACTTTGAGATGATGAAGATTTGTAGCTCAGGTGGATGATTTTGATGGAGTTTTGTTCTCTGAGCCGGATGGTTTGATCGTGGAGCTTTCATCATCATGATCTTGTTCAGAAGAACGATGAAAGCTCCATGACAAAACCATCCAGCTTAGAGAACAAAACTCCATCAAAAACATTCTATTACCATCAAAAGTAGGATGTACTGATTTAGTGCTTTATCGATTGACTGAAAACAATTAACTCACATAATATTGATTGGGATAGAGAAATAACCCATTTGATAATTCAAAGATAACAATTAACTCTTGACAAACATTCCCACGACTTGTATAGTGGGGATATCATGAACAATCGAGTGATTGATTTTAAATAATGTGAAAAATAAATTTACACTGAAAATTGAAATCGGCTAGATAACTATTGAAGCTAACTATAAACTGTAAAAATGTTTAAGTTAGGTTAGGGACTCTTCCTTAGAAGAAATCATGATCCCAAACAGGAACCGAAATTCCAACATTTCATGCTTCACCAACAGCATAGTACCTTCTCATAGTAATAAGTCAAAATTCAATATAAACCACACCATCAACTTTTATAAATTTGTGATATGGTATGATCCTGATCTAATTATCACCAATGAGTTACTACTTTA